GCCAGAACCCTTGTTCTGCCATGGACGGGGGTGTTGGGGCATGGAGGTGACTGCTGTGAGCCCTCAGCAGCCATCCCCCTCCCCCTTCCCTCCTGGCAGGAGGCTCTGTGGCTCCAGGAGGTGTCTGGGTGTCCTTCCCAGTGCCCAGGCGGTGCTGGGTGAGCTCACCTGCAGCCCCACACGAGCTGGGGAAGGTGCACGAGCTCCACGGAAAGCAGAGGCAAGAGAAGGGATTCTGGACTGTCACCCCAAGTGGCTTGTGGAAAGGCACGAGTTTGTGCAGAACTCACTGGCAGCAAAGCCCTGGGGAAGGATGTGGGGGAGGCAGTGGTGGTGGTGAGGCTTTGATGGGCTGCTGAGCTAATCAGCCCGTTGGCTGCTGCAAAGGTCATGTCACAGAGCTGACACAAACCTCCTCCTCCAAAGTTCTCTTTTAAGAATGCTGTCAAACCCCAATTCAACCCTGTATTTTTTTACCACGTGTATGAGCAGCAGATATTCTCACAGCACATCCCACAGAACTTTCCTCTCACTCCTGTACAGAATGCAGGGTCTTTTCTTGTTTGTTAGCACTGACACCGTTCGTAAGGACAAGACCATGTGCTGTAGGAGGATTCCCACAGGTCAGGCACCCAAAAAGCCTCAGTTCTGCTGGCTCTCCCAGCCTCTGGAGCTGGACAGGCCCACTGCAACCAGCTGTGGCCTCTGGACTCTCCTCAGAGCACCCAGTGCCCAGTGCTGGCACCCTCTGCAGCGCTGTGGGTGGCCCTCAGCCAGCACCAGCCCTTCTCTCCCCCCTGGCCCCCAGCAGGGTGATGCTCACCCCGCTCCAGCCTGTCTAGCCAGGAGCTGGCTCTCAGGATCAATCCTTCTCATGCCCACCTGAGGCCTCAAGGGTGCCCTGAGGACCTGAGCAGGTGTTTTTCCTTCTCCTCTGCTCTCTCTGTGAGTACAGGCAACACAACTGTGCTTAACCTCTCCCAGCCACAGGCTGCATGTCTCTGGGATTTTCCAGGGATAACACCGCTCCAGAAATCATATTAGATGAGATAATAATCTCTGAGATAAGAGATGTTAATAACATATTCTTTGAAACTGATGTTCCATTACCACTCTTTTCAGCAGAAACCGAATGCATCCCATTCAGCCCAATGAGAACTGCAGCCAGCTGCCTTGACAGGGCACGTTAGAAATTCAGCTTATTTTTCCCCTCCTCAAATGCACAGAAGGTTTATTGATAATATTTTCTGTTAGCCTAAAGCATCTTTGTTAGAAACAAGTGGCTCTCTTGTGGCTCTTTATCAGTGTCCCTTCAAGCTGAAATGTTTGCAGAGCAGACCAGGAGTGCTTTCTAACCCACTTGGTGTAGATTTAAATGTATATATTATGCAGGGCAATAGGGGATCAGACTCAGTGGAGTATCTTCAGGAATAATTGAAAGCAGGACTTGTTCCTGGTATTTTGTAAATAGTAGCAATAACTCCTTACGTTTCACACGCTACTTGAGCTTTTAAAATTCTGCTGTGCCATTCTGTGGCCAGGAGTGAAGAGTGAAATCCTTTCAGATCTCTTGTGATTTAGCAGACAGCTTTAAGGGGTAAATGTGAGATAAAGAGGAATAATTAACTTTTCCAGAAGTCACTTTCAGCTAGGGGAATTTAAACCTTACTTTTAATCTTTCAAATTGACCATGAACCTTGCATTCATTCTATGTTGTATAAAATTACATGTTACAATATTTAAGTAGGTAGAACTGCACTGTGGACAAAATGAAGTGTGGAAAGTGTTTTGGAGGAGATAGAAGAAAGTAAATGTGAAGTATATGAAAAATCTAATCAATAAAATAACAATTTCAAAATAAAAACATTAGCTGCTAGAGAGTCCAGTAAATCACATCAGTTGTGTGGAGCAGCACCATTGGATTAAATTATAGAGGGTGAGAAGCAGAACACATCAAGCACAAATAATCTCTCCCTCTCATTTACTTTGCTTTGTAGTTGAAGGTGTAGGAATTGTTTTCCCCAGCAAGGTTGGGAAAAGGAGGAAAGGAGCACGTGTAGCAATCACAGCACAGCACAGCTTGAGCCATGTCACAGGTTTACAAAATGTCACACTCTGCCATGGCAAATGAGCCACTGTCACACCCTTAAGCAGCTCTTTTGATCTATCCTAATGCACAAATTACAGTTGTCGTCATGTCTTATTACTATTATCTTGTGGAAGATTGAAATGTTTTACTCTCTGATAGCAAATTCCTAATAATTTACCTGCCTGAGACACAAATTAGGTAGAATTCCAATTCTTTCTGGAGTTGTTTAATATTTCCTCAGTGGTATTTATTACAATTTGCTGCAGGGATGCATTTTGAAAATTTAATGTATATAATTTCAGGACAAACTGTATGGCTTTGGTTTGATCTAAAGCTCCCATGGCACCAGAGGAGCCTGATGGAGGGGACAGACAGTGCAGTTTTTTGCCATTTAGCCAACATAGATCAACAGGATGGCTGGGATACTTTCAGTGAGGTGAGGAAGGGCTGTGCTGAGAGGAATATTGGATATTGAATATTGTCCTGCTCAGCCAATGGTAAAGATGTCATGGCAAAAATGGTGACAGCAGCACAGTGTCTCTCCCTGGAGGATGGGTCATGTGCCATGCCAGCAAAATTAGTTTTTGCAGCATTTTAAAACAAAACAAATGCTAATCCCTTGCTTGTTTCAATCCTTCAGTCTGTCAAACAAACAGGAAAGATGAAAAATAGAGATCTACAAGGTGGAGTTCAGTCAGCAGGGTGGCAGTTTTTCCATGGCTTGAGGGCAGGATGCGGATGCCCACACACCTGGGAGCAGTCTGTCTAGGATTATCCAAGCAAAAAGAGGAAGCTGCTTGGTCACGTTTTCCATACATTTGGAGGAAAATGCTCCATCACTGGCATGTTTGCTTGGACCCCTCCAGCAGGCAGGACACAGCTGAGTAAGGATATGCAGAGGGCTTCTCATCTCCAGGGGAAAAGTCCATCCAGGGCAGGAAGTGGAAGGAAAACTACTGGAGTGCAGGGAACAGTGCACAAAATCAGTCAGTGAGAGGTTTTGTCTGTGCAGCTTTCTAAAGAGTATCAGAATATAAATCACACTGTCCAAAATTAATAGACTGCTCAACCACTTGAGTTTATTAATGTTCCTGGCGATTCCGCAGAAGCTGAAGTAAGTTTGGTGAATTCCATCATGCTTCTTAACTGGAGAGAACACATCCTCTAAGTGGTTTTATTGTCCTTTTAATGTCTGAACCTGAGACTATTAGGGCTGCAGAATGATTTATAATGATGTGCTAAACTGGAGTAATTTCAGTCATTTTATTAAGCCCTTTGTGGACGAAATGGAGACTTGCTGGGGCTGTGTTTTCTTTGAACACACTCCCTGTGCCTGTGCAGCGCCTCAAGAAGTGAGGATGCACACCATATGCTAGAGCCTGGGGTGCCAAAGTGCACTTCTAACCTCTTAGTGATAATTTAGATGTGTTACAGCAGTGTCTCCCTAAACACTGAGAAACTCCTCTATGGTTTTTAATGTATGTTATTTCTCATAGTGAAATGATCTGTCAGTAGCTGTAGTGATTAAGTTACGGTTCCTAAAGAAAGGCAGTCTCACTTTATTCCCTATCCATATTTTCCTTCCTGTGGCTCCCAAAGATCATTTCCTTTGAGGTCATGTTTGGTTAAGCTCATGTGATTCTATTTCTGGATGTTTTTCTCTGTAATTACCTGTAGGACAGTTACCTTTGACAAGATTTATACATAAAGAAATGTTAAAATCTAAATGTAGTTTCTTTTTGAAATTCAGTTAAGGCTTTTCAGTTGTATTTTTTACAGTGTGTCAAGAAGACACACATTCAGGAATATGCAGTTCTGTAGTTCTGCAGGATCTATTATTTGTATAATTAATTAACTGAATTGCAGCTTCTTTGGGGAAAGACATAGTTTGAGTCTTGGGTAACCATCTGTGAGGTGCTGGGGTACAAAGAGTAGAGCACTGAACTGAGACCAGGACATGGAGAAATAGTCAGATCAAACATTTATTGATGCCCTTCAACATAAGAACTTGGCTCAACACTGAGGACATCTCTGGCAAACAGCTACTCTGAATTTAGCACAGAATCTTCCATAATACTGAATTCTTAAATGCAGTGTTGGTACTGCTTCCTCTACTTTTCTCTCCTTATAGTCATTTGAGTACTGCTTTTGGTTTTCTCCTCAGTTTTGAAATCTGATTCTCTTTCCAGGCCAGTGTAATACAGGGTTTCTGTCACCAGGATAATTAACAAAGCATGAGGGAAAATGTGCAGATTTTTTTTCAGCTACCTTTGCAACTGTGAAAAGCCAATTCTCTTCCACTGCTTTTCCCAGTATCATAAATGGTCCTCAATGTTCAATCAGTTATAATTGTCCATAAAATCAAAGGATCCTCAGGTTCAGCACCTTAGAAACCAAAGAAATCTAAAAATCACTCAACCTGGGATGGAAGACCCTAAAAAGAAGTAAGAGACAATACTACATATTCATAAGGTTTTACAGAAATGAATATCAGAGTGATGAAAAGTGTATTTGAGTGTAAAATACCCATGTTCATTAATGTCTTTTCAAAAATTCACAGGGCAGCACAGCAGCTTATCAGCTTTTCAGGAGCATAGTACAAGGGAGATGTTCTGTCTCTGAGCCTGTCCATGGTTGCTTTTCAGTGGCTGTGAACAGATGCTGCACTGGGAGGACTCATCAGACAAAACACATTTAGAGCTCTGTCGAGTCCATGATAACTAAGAAAAATTGATAAAGTCTGGGTTTTTTCCTTCTCTTTCTCTCTGAGGGATGCATGTTCTATTTTATTTCTTGTTTAAAAACTATCATCACTATGAAGAGTTTGACTTCACCATAGAGTTTAGGACAATATAGGAGGCGATTCCAGGAATGGAGGATTGTCTTGGTTTAGGGGGAAAAAAAAAAGCAATTCCCAGCAATCTGTTGAAATTTATTAGAGTTTTTGTTACAACAAGGCCATCAGCTGCTGCTCTGGGTGCCATGGAAACAGGCATTGCTGCAAACAGGGGAGCCTGCTCTCAATCCATTCCTATTTCAGAAAAATAAAAAGAAGAAAATGGGGTTTTGTGGGCTGAGCCGTTTAAAGGACTCTGCCCGTGTCTTTAGCAGTGCGCGTGGCCACTGCCCTGGCAGAGGGAGCAAGGGACTGACAGACACCTCTGACTGCTTCCAGTCTCATGGAAGAAAACTGGAACAGCTCTCCACTGATCTCTCATCGTAAATAAACGGGCAAATGGGGATATGGATGGTGGAGCAGCCCAGCCAGACTGGAAGAGGAGAGGATTTCTTCTCTAATTCTAATTTGGACCGAGATGCAGCTTGAACTCCAGGTTGGGCTTCCTGGAGCTAAGCTGGGCCCAAACCACTCAGTTCCTAATGACCTTCCATAGGAGAGAAGGAAGGAAGGGGCAGGAGAGCACTGACATCACCATGAACTCCTACATTTGTTTCTGTACTCAGATGTCTCAAATTTTAGTTCATTTTACACGTTTCAGTGCAACCCCTTCTCCATATTCTTAGTAAAATATCGTAACAAGTAATTTCTCACTCCAAAAATAATCTGTGGGAATCAGCATAATGGTTTTCCCATTAGAAGCACAGTAAGTGCCTTGTGCAGCAGCAGGATTCAGAGAGCATCTGTTGGGATTGTTGTCATAGAGATCTCAGGATTGCTACACTAAATGTATAAGAGTCCATGCAACAGTTTATGTGCTGAGTTTTATAGCTGTAATATATCAGCTGAAGTTTCCTCAGCTTTCCTTGCTGGGTGGGAGGCGGGGTTTCCCTCAAAACTCACAGAATGAAACCAGAGAGATGAATGTGGGATTTTTGTAAGACCTTACATGTTAACAGTCATCTTAAAATATTGTGGAGTTGATAATGGTCACATCTTTCTATAAGATGCACGAAAAATCCAGATTTTCATCTGAACTGCACATGTATTGTTTGTTCTTGTTATTCAGTAACACATAAGTAATTGATTATGCTTAAACCGATGTTTTTCCAATTTCCTTACATTTGACTCATTGGCAGATCACAGAAAAAATATTTTTAAATCTATTAACTGTCTGTCAAGTTGCCCACCACAGAGCCTTCAGCTGATTAGCTGCTTTCTGGTTCAGTGGAAATCAGTTGCACAGAAAGCCTTGAGAGAAATCATTGGATGTAACCTGGAAAACTTCATATTTTTTAAGATATGGAGAAAGTTTCTGGTGAACAATAGCATTTACTGCTAGCTGCCAAGGTTGGCTGTTTAATTATGTGTTGGCCGTGGTAAGCCTCGGTGTTTGTGAGGATAAAGATGTGGGTGAGCTGTGCTCTGAGTGGGAGCCTGGCTCTGCTTGGGGTTTCTATCCAACACACACTTGTAAGAGAGGGTCTGATGTTTCCTCATCTGCCTCACAACCATCTCAAGAGCAGAGACCGAGACCCTGCAGACCCCAGGGCACTTTGTGCAGGGGTTCTGGCCTGGCTGAGGTGGATGCTGCCCAGGTGATTGTTTGTAGCTGTTTGCTGTGCTGTCACAGTGCCCTGCCCTCGTTCCTGCTGCTGAGCAGGGACTGGCGAGGAGCAGCCTGTTCTGTACCTCACACCTGCTGCCCAGAGCAACGGGTCTCACCACAACAGCCTGTGAATCTCCCCACCTCTTGGCCAGCTGCCCCTTGCTCTGAAACAGACTATGAAAGTGACTTTCTAAGTTACTTTCTGAGAGAGATCTCCCCAAGGAAGAAGACCCCGGCTACCCTGTCTTGTCTGTTGGTAGCTATAACCCCCCCCCTTTTTCTCTTTTCTCTTTACCTCTTTATCCCTCTCTCCCTCTCTCTCCCTCTCATCTATCGCACAACCCATGTTGCTGGCACTAAAATAAAGGTGCCTTATTGCTGTTGTGATTTAAACTGAAACCCCTTGGTGTCCTTTTTGCACTCTGAGATCAAACAAACCTCTCACGACTACCACTTGTGTTAGTGAATCGTGACAGCACTGCCTCATCCAAACAGTATGGAAACAACCTGCCAGGCTTGGCATAAAGATGTGCTTGGTGAAATACCCCTGGGGTGAAGGAAAAGCTGTGATCACTTTTGTCTGTCTGCAAACGCTAAAGAAGGATAAAAGAGCCCCCTGGGGCAAGGATCAGCTGACTGTCATCTCCAGCTGGGCAGGAATTGCGCATTCATTCTGACTTCCATCAACTGTCACATAGCACAGAGGGACAGACAGACAGAGACAGGCTCTCATCAGCCTCAGCTGGGAGGTAACAGAGTCCACCACAAGATCGTTTTGTTCAGGACAGGAACCCTACAACTGCTGTCACACCAAAGCCCCTTGGTGGGTGCAGAGCTGCAGTGGGAGCTGAGGCTGGGGCCCAGTATCCCTGGGCTATCCCTGGGCTTTCCCCACCCAGTGGATCACTGGACAAAACCAATAAATCACAAGCTCTTGCAGCTGGCACAGCTCTCTGCTGCCTGACACAACCTGTTTGTTGTATTCATTTTAAATGCAGGATTGCACATGGCAGTTCAGGCAATAGATGAAGGGAGGCTCAGAAAGCCAAGGACTCCCTTGAAACACCATTACCCAACCCAGTGGGCTTGATGCTGCTTATTTGGGGTGGGAAAGAACAAGGACAAGGGACAGGGCATCCGTGGAATCAAACTGGGGATCAGTTTGTTCTGATGTCTTGGGCAGCACCTGGATACCACTGCTACACATCCCTTCCTGTTAGAAAGGGGCAACCCCTTCACTGAATTTCATCTACCAGATTGTGTGAATTAGACATTTAAAAACTCTGGGTTGAGGAGATGTATTTTCCTGCAAGGAGTTCAAAGGAAATATTTCCTTTGCTCTTTTTTGTCTCTCTCGCTTCACTGCCAGGGACTGGGGTCATGGTGATGGGATGGCCAGGAGGGAGGAGCACAGGGTCCGTCTTTTGATCCTACTTGGGTTGTGTTCCCCATTCCTACAGCTCTACTGGGCTAATACAAAATGCATAACTAAGCTCTGTCAATTATTTGAAAAGTAAAATAGCAATTAGAGCGAAATAAAAAGAGGGATGAGAAGCCTTTGGCATGTTATCACTCTTCCTGTCAGGAGACGATTAAGCAAAGCAAGCAGCAGCTGTGGGGAGCCACCAGCCATCCTTCAGCATGGGATCATTGTCACTCACTGCAGATGCCATCCCCTTCCTCTGCTGGGATGTTCCATTTATTTCAATTACTGGAGCTGAGGAAATGTTTGCTTGTTCCTTTGGTTTTACATGTCTCCTGTACCTGAAGTTTCTGGTACTTGTCTCATCATTAATATTTCTTACTGCAGTGTGTCTTCTCCATCAGCGAAGGTCATTCCCTATCAGCTCACACACCTAGAGAGGCCTCATCCATCTTTCCAGGACAGTGTGAGGTACTCAGCCATACCTGTCTGTCTGACTCCTGTTTGTCTTGCCATCTGTCTTGTTCCCATGTGTAACATCTAATTAACACCCATGGTAATTAATTATGCTGTGGTGTCTTTTCTATTACCTATTATTGGTGTCAGCGGGAATAAATCAGCACATTGAACACAAAGGGAATTGTGGTATTCGGTGATGGAGAACATAAATAATGGACTTACAGATTTTAAATATTCATAAAATAGAAGGCAAGGACCATAATTTTAATAGAAGGTTTTGTATAGTGAATAAAACTACATTTTCCTACTTCTTTGTAGAGTACAAACAGGGCATTGTGTAGCTGAGGTCCCTGCATACACAGAAAACAGTTCAGTGACCAGTTCATGGCAACTGCCTTGGAGAAATAGTTGATCTGTATTGTTTTTAAGTTTAATTATTTGTAGGTTTTGACAGTGGTTGGCCTTTTGAAATTGTCAGTTGAAATGTATTGGTCTGTAAAAAATCACATACTAAAGGTTGAATGCAATTATTCTCCAGGGATAATCTCAGAGCAAAACATTTGGCCATCGATGCCAAGGAACATGGCTTCTGCCACCAACTCCTTGGATGAGCACAGATGGAAGTATTTCTGGTTTAAAAATCAGATTGATTCCTGCATTTTTGAAAAATAATTCATTCTACTGATTAAACAGACATTAAAACATTAATCATTAAAAATGTGTTTGGGGGACCTTTGCTTTTCGGTCCCCCCAACAGACAGGGGAGCAGTGCCCCAGTGGCACCAAAACCTGTGTATGTAACATCGAGGGAAGTGGAGCATTGATAGCAGAGATCTGCCCCAGAACCAGAGGAGAAGGGCTGGAGGAGGAATTCCCATCCCCAGCTGTTTCCCACACACATTGTTGTGTTATTCCACACACATTTGAGGCAGAAGCAATAAGCACTTCACCCTCTCAGAGCTAACACAGGAATGGTTGCCTAAACCCTGTTATTTTGCCTAGGATGCTTTAAGAGAACTTCAATAAAACCTTGCCTTTCACTAGTGCTGCTAAGCTTTCCAGGAGAATACCAGAGAATTATTCCCAATTTTCAGTCTTCCAGAAGCTGAAGATGTTTTACTGATTTAATTCCTATACTGCTACATTTTCATGCAGGATCAGGTTTCCTATTGTTGAGGGATATTTCTTTTCAGGTTAGGTCATTTTTATACAGGAAAAAAAAAATACTTTCTCATGATGGGAGCTGTTTTATGAAAGAAAAATTACCTTTTTCACCATCAAGTTTTCCAACTCCTTTGCAAAGATGAATTAAATCTGAATCTGTCTCAATTACTTGGGGATTGTATTTCATTGTAACTAATCACATTCCATTTTTTTTGTAGATTAAGCATTGGGACTGGCAGTGTGACTTCAGAGATCACTGACAGTTCTACCTGCAGCTCTGGGTTTCTGAACTTGAGAGAAAAAGTGAAATTATTTTTTTTATTTGCTGCCCTGCGTTGCCTTGAATGCAAAATCTTGTCAGGGTAAGAGGCAATGGATATAAGTTGATTTTCAGGGAATTCCAGTTTTTGTTGCTAGGGTTTTTTTTTTTTTGGTTGTTGGGCCTTTTTGGGGTTTTTTTTGTCCAACTGGACACAGTCCTAAGTAACCTGTTCTGACTGTGCTTTGAGAGGTGCTTGGACTGCAGAATCACCAAGGATGCCTTCCTACCTCCGTTTTTCCATGTGTCTGAATTGCCATCAGGAAGAAGGTACAGAACTGCAAGTGTCTGAACTCTGTATTTATCACAGCTGTCCTCTGCACCCACCTGATCAGCCAAAAATTATGAAAAGCAAGGCAAGTAGTGGGGGAAATGTTCCTAAAATTGTCATTTGCTTTCTGCCCTGATGGAGCTCAGTGTCATCTTAATGTCACAAAAGAATAATGGGTGGAATATGATAAATGAGGTGCCTATTTCAATGAGCTTACACACCCAGAAACAGATGCTGTCCATGCATTTCTTAAATGTGATTTCAAAGAATTGTATTGCTCTTCCTCAGAATTGACAATTAAGTAAATGCAGGAAAAGTAGATAAATCAAAAAGGCAGTGATTGGGACATAGCATGACATTTACTTTTTACATTTCATGCCTGACCATTATGTTTTTATTCCATCCTCTTTTGTCATATTTGAATGTTTAAAGTAATTTTAATTCTGGCTGCAGCTTCCTGATGATTCCTGTCTAGTTTTTTTCCATCCCCACCTTTTCCTAAGCCTGTTGAAACACCTTACTGCAGCCTTTGCCTCGTGTCTTTCCAAACTTTCTTGGCTGCTGAGTTGCCACCCAGAGAAAGGGGAAGTTCAATTGTTATATATACTGGTGGGTTACTTGTCCCAGAATTACTTCAATAACTAGCAGTGATTTATTTTTTTTTAAAGAAGAAAAATTATCTCCTGTGTTGTTTCAGTCATATGAAAGCAAAAGGAAAGATAAAATAGAAAGAGAAGGCAGTACTTCTTTTTGCTGATGATGCATTTGATGGATGTCTCTCTGAGGACCTGATTGAACTCAGTGTTATACCCCCCAAATGAAGATAAATCATTGGTGAAGGGTGTGTGGAGTACATGCCCAAAATCAATTATGCTCACACGGAGATCTATTAATCTATTTCTTCCTGTTCAGTCTACCCAGCCTCTTTTAAATGGCTTTTTATCATTCCAAACACAGGTTACCTTTTTTAAGTGGTGCTACAGTTCTGGTGGTTTGCATTAAAATCAGAGTTGGGCCTTGCATGTGAAGAACCCGTTCACCCCTTCCCTTTGCTCAGCCCAATTACCTTAATTCCGTTTTAAACCATTTCTCCCAACAAGATCTCTGAGTCACAGGGACCCTGACCCTTTCTGCAGAGCCTTGGTGGGGTTTGTTACCTTTCCTTGTTGGGAGCACAACAGCCTGGCAAAGATTCCTGTGTGAAAAAACAAAGTCATGCAAGTATAAGGAGGTACAGTTGAAAACACTGTAATGAAAAAGAGATATCCAGGAAATTGTGTCTACTGAATGGTATTTCAGGGAAATCCAGTGGGGCTCAGAGCCAGAATGTATCAGATGCTCTCTCCATTCCCAGGGAAAGACAATCTGATCACAGTCTATGCCTCTCACTGAGCAAGATGAAGGTGACAGAGCAAGCATTGAAGGGAATCTATGTAACACTTGGGAATTCAAAATTTCATCATTTTGTCAGTTTTTAAATTGTGACATCACCTTATGTTTCTCAACCAGAATCATGGTAAGCAGCTAACTACAGCTCGCTGCTTTCCATCTAATACTTCATCATGTTAACAGTGTAAAAGGCTGTTGATCAGGCAGGTCAGCAAAGCATTCTGAATAAATCCCATATCCTAGCCCAGATAATTTTCATTCTGTCAGTGAATGCCTGGCATTAGAATGAACCGCTAGTTCTGAAATATTGGCTGCTAACATAAAGAAATTCCAGCACAGGATGGAAGCACTGGTTGGATTTGATGATCCTAAGGGTCTTTCACAACCTAAGTTATTCTAAATGAATCCATGAAATGAGTGGTGTCCATGCACTGTTTTTATGAGGCCAAAAGCATTGCCATGATTCAGTGTAGGGAACAGTAGCACTCTGATGACACAAAAAGCAGTATCTTGGGTGATTTTTGTGGCTGTACTTGTAAGTTCAAGGAGCTGTGCACTAAAGCCTCTAAATCCCACATGAACATATTGCCTGAGAGAATCCCCTGAAAGACAGGAGGCACTCAGGCATCTTTGCACTTAAGATTCCATGTTTTGCTCCAGGGCTGGATTTCCAACTTGTAGTTGGAAGAAGAAGCTCTTCAGGGACAGAATTCTCTGTCTTTAGAAGCAGTGTCTATGTTAAGCAGCCCCAAGAAAGGAGAAAATCACCTTAATTTTAAAAGCTAGTGCTTTACAACTCTGCAGGTAGGCTTTCACTCAGACATGCTCACAGATACCTGTCTGAGATTTCTGGGGGTGTCCAATAAAATGTTTGAAATGCTATCTTTTCTTTCAGCAGCTCTCTAGAGAATATCAAAAAGATCTGAGAAGCAGCAGCATGGAGAGTGCATCCAGCCCTGTGGCACTCCAGAGCTGTGGCCCTTAGGAATTCTGCTGACATGTACCTTGTAGTTGTACTTGTAAAATGAGGAACCCTCCCAGATGCCTCTCCTCTGCAGAAGTGAATTAACATCCTGTCATAGACCCTTTTCAGTTATCTCAGCCCTGGGCTTGAGTGCAAAGTTCCTGTCAATAAAGCCTGATAAACAAATGCAATACCTGGAGTGTTTAAAAACACGGCATCGGTTTTGTGGCTGTGAATTTCATTAACTTTCTAAGCAGAATTGGACTTTTGCTGGTAATTCATTCAAAGCAAGTAGCCAGTGTGTAAATCCTTAGTTCTGTGGTAAAGCCTGTGCATGCAAAATTAAACTGGATGAAATCTAGAAGCCTGTGGGTATTTTGGGTAAATTTACAGCTTTTATACTCAGCCTTTCTTCTGATGGAATTAATAAATGTTTGGGATTGTTGCAGCTGCAGTCAACTCCTGTAACATATTGATTAGCATCATATTGACAAAAAATTGGTCTCTGTTAACAAGGAACAACACAGTGATTGATAGGTTACAAAAGTTATATAAAGTGTGCCGACATGTTTGGAGAAGTGACACATCACACACAGTCAATAGTGATGGAAATTGGAGCAGAATTCTCCAGCTCAGCCTTGATTACCTGGCAGAAAGTGATCCTAGGCTTTTAGGTAAGGAGTAATACATTTTCTATCTGTAGTTGCTATTTCTGTTATTATTATTACTACTATTATTATTATTATTATTATTATTATCTGTTGAGTGTATTTTATAGCCCATAACCATTAGGGCTACAGAAGTGATTTTTTCAGATTGTACCATCAAGACTTTCTGATTCCAGGTAAATCCAGTTTGGCAGAGCAAGCACTGAAACAGCTGCCAGCTCTCTAATCTGGTTCAAGTCAAAATCATGTTTGACATCACTTCAGCATGACATGAGAAGGAAATCTGTTTTAAATATAGGGAGATGACTTCAGAATACATTCCATGAGCTTTATTTAGTGCAAGGATTTTTTGTTTTCCAAGTGAGTTGACACAGGAAAGGGATATTAGAGAGACAGGCTATTTTCACGCCTCTTTCAATCTGTCACATAAAACCACAAAGGTGGTTGTTGTTGATAGATTTCTAGTTTGTTTTCTCAATTTGTGCATGCTATTCTGATAAAAAACCCTCTTTACAAATGTAAGAATTGAGGTTGTTGTTGATAGATTTCTAGTTTGTTTTCTCAATTTGTGCATGCTATTCTGATAAAAAACCCTCTTTACAAATGTAAGAATTGAGCCCAACTATCAAACTTGTCCAGCTCCACTCCTTTTTTAATATTTTTTACTTAGTGTCGGAAGAAAGGGGAAGAACCAAGAGAAAGGAGTTGGAGCTTGTGAGAGAAGGAGAAATAAAGGAACACCTTTTTTCAGCTGAAACCTGACTTCAGAGAAGCATTTAATTTCTTAGCACTGCTTAGGTCTGAAAAGATCTATTCATAGTAAATCTGAGCCAGGAAAATGATTTTTTTTTTAACTCATTTGTGTTTTAAGGCCTATTTTCCATTTTCCTTTTGTTCTGTGCAAATACATATTTCCAGACCTTTGTACAGAAGCTTCTCATGTTCCCTGTACCATCCCCCTTTATGGGTAAGTCACCGAGTGGACTTTTCCCCAAGACAGAATTATAAATGCTGCAGTACAGCCTTCAGTAATGACACTTGGTATCACATTTCCAGAACCCTTACCATTTTTGCTTTCACTAAGCAATTCTTTCATGTGAGTTTTCCCCTAAATCACTGCAAATACGGCAACCACAAGACTCCACATGAGTGAGGGCAGAGGAAACCAGCCCAAGGTGGCTCAGTGAAGACTTTAAAGTGAAGCTTCATTTTTCTGAGCCCTACTAAAGGACTGAAAATACTCTCAGTGACTTAAGGAGAGAAAATCAAGGTCTAAGGATGGTCAGTGGAGCATTTTCAAAGTAAGGATGGGAAATATTATGTGTACCTTGAAAAGGCCTGCTGTATTGAAGGATAAAAGGGAAACAACCGTGCAGACAATAGGTTTGGAACAAGACAAACCACCAAAGCCTGCAGACTTTATTTTGTGTGGCTTTCTAGTAGAAGTACCATAAAATGCAGTGAACCCAGCCCTCACACATACACGCACCTGGCTAACTCATGGCACATGTGGCATTGGCTACGTGTGAATTTAATAAACCTATACTTAGTTGTCTCATGTGGCCACAGTCCATCTGGGATATATGTACAAATGCAAAAAAAAAAGCCCTCACAACACTTCCTTGATCTTTTCCCCATTTGTGTTGAATCATTTCTGTCAGCTTACACGATGACAGTTCTCAGACACGGCAGTTGCTGCCTTTCATCCATTGCAGGAGTATTTAAATGGCTGATCAGCCGTGAGTGTATGGCCAAGAGGACAGAGGGGCCTTTGGGGCATCTCCTCTTTCAGGACTCACTCATTTCACAGGTCTCTCCATCAGCTGTGGTTCAGCTACAGACAAGGGGGCTTGTCCTGCATTTGCTGAACTCAGTAAATCTTTTTGGACTGATGTGAAAGACAAGTAACACCTGAAAAGCCTCTGTTGTCTCAAAGGGATGCAGCACTGGGTAGGTTTTTAGAGCTAATTTTAGTCAAAGTGGAAACTGGAAATAAAGCAGGCAACTCTTCTGACATTTGGTACTTTGGTCATAGTATTGAAAACAGTATATTATCTCCCTCATTGTCAAAGGAAACAAATTACATACTCTGGATTAAACACAATTTGTGGAGGTGGTGCAAAGACTTGACAAAACTGCCGGGTAAGAACAGGTGAACAAAATCAAGGAGTTATTGCAGCTCACGCAATCAAGGAACTGCCCTCAGCTGCGGTGGAGCCCCAGAGCGCCGAGGCGGCATCACCTGCGGCTGGTTCCGCTCCCGGCCAGGCGGCGTTCCCAGTCCAGCAGCCAGGCAGGGCCGTTCTCCTGCTGCCTTTGTTGGGTGTTCCTGTGCCCGGCTCCCTCGTGGCTGTGGGACATTCTCGGGCCCGGCTCCCCCGTGGCTGGAGGACATTCCTGGACCCGGATCCCTCATGGCTGAGGGCGGCAGGCACTTCTTTGGGAGGGCAGGAGCCAGGTAAGCGCCTGAGGGCTGAGGCAGCTCCGTGTGGGGACCTGGTTTGGGCGGGAAAAGGGAACTTTTACTTGGACAGAAGATATTTGTGGTTTTTATGAACTTGAGGACTGTGTATGTTCATGCTTTTGTGAGGTTTATGAAGTATAATTTAATATTCTGGGTATTTGAAAGTGCTGGGGGTTTTGTGTTTGAGATGTGTTTGTTTGCTTGTTTTTGCTATCAGGATTGAGCTGTTAAAATATTTAAATGAGGAATAATGTGTATGAAAAGCTTGCTTTCTTGTGCAATAGCCCTGAAAAAGAAGGGCCTTATGTAATGGAGGGTTTATGTTTGGAGGGGTTTTGGGGTTTTTTCCCCAAATGCTGGCAATGGAGGACTGAGGGAAAGAGGCTGTTCCCGTGCCCGGATTCCCCGTGGCTGAGGGCGGCAGGCGCCCCTCTGTGAGGGCGGGAGCCGGGTGAGCGCCTGAGGGCTGAGGCGGCTCCGTGTGGGGACCTGGTTTGGGCGGGGAAAGGGCGCTGTTATTTGGACTGAAGAGATTTCTGGGGTTTGTGAATTTAAGAGCTGAATACGTTCGTGGTTTGTGAGTTTCGTGACGTTTAATTTCATATTCTGGGGGTTGGTGGGGGTTTTGGGCTTGAGGGTTTTTTGTTTTGTTTTGTTTTTGCTATTTTGGTTAGATTTGTTAAAATATTTAAATGAGGAACAACGTGTATGAAAAACTTGCTTTCTTGTGCCATACCCTTGAAAATGAAGGGCCTTAAAGAAGGGGAAACTGTTTCTTGTGCCATACCCTTGAAAATGAAGGGCCTTAAAGAAGGGGAAACTGTAGGTTTTGGGTTTGTTTTTGGGGGTTTTTTTCCCCAAATGTTGGTAAGGGAGGAGTGAGGGAAAGAGGTTTTGCTGTATGAGGGAAGAAAATGTCTCACTTGCCTGAATGAGTGAGGGTGGGAACACTGTGGCTCAAAACAAAGCTGTTCTTAATGTTCTTGGGTCTCGTGAAGGGGTTTTTCCTGCATGGTAACCATAAACACAATTTTCAGTTGTTTCTCTTACTATAAAAATATAAAATGAACCATTTGCATCTACCTATGGTTTGTGTCTTCTCTGTGAAAGTACTTGGTGGTGGCAGCTGCAGTTAAAGAGCTCAGCTGGGAATGATGGTGGGGATGGGGCCCTTGGAGGAAGGGTTTGAATTGTGTTAATGGCATTTTTGCCATGTGCATCAAATATTCCTGAAACATTTATCAGGTTTAAATGTAAATAGCAAGGAAAAATATACAAGAGCTTGTTAATGTTTTCTTCTTCTATATGTCTTGCTTACGAAATGGACCATTACTGGCTTCTGTTTGCATTCATTTTTAATATGGAAATCATTTTGCTAGTCGGAAAATTAGTAATAGCTTTTGTGAAGTTGTTTAAGTGAACAGAACATGTGTTTAATGGTTTGTGGGGATCTAAGCTGAAGCAGCTGAAGATTTGGTATAGAACCAGTGCTAACATGGTTTTGTATTAAAAGCCCATTTTGGGACACCTACCAAAAATAATGTGCTACGGAAGGAAATTGGTAGGTGCTTGGCTAGGTATCATACGAGTTTTTAAACCTATCAAATGTGTTTTTATTCTAAAAATAAATTCAGATTTCTTTATTAAAAAACAATCTCTTATCACAGTATTGTTCATCATTAAGACTTGAACCTCCCCCTGTGCTACAGGACTGAGCCTACTGATGTTTTAAAAAATAAACTACAAAAAAAAAACCCCAAAAGTCAGAGGTGTTAAAATCTACTCCTAGTACATTTTGGTAGCTTAAGATCTGTGGTTCTGGCTTTTTCCTGTCCTTTCTGTTGAGAGTTATGGTAGAGCTTCCTTTTTGTCATTTTTCTTCACATCTATTGTCTTTTTGTATTCCCTGGAGGAAAAGCCAAATGCCAAGCTGATACATAATTACAAATACACCTCACTGTATTCCATTAAGACTGTATTTCATTAAAAAAAAATCTCAAAATCCCAAAGCTATCACAGCTAATGATGTTTGACGCCTGCTGATTGAAATTATGACTAACAGAATAATAGCTGTTACATGTGCTTGCTTAGGTTGTTGTCTCACAGAATCATGTCTAAAAGATGCATTTAACTCTGACCACAGGGAATCAGGTCCTTGGAGATCAGCTTTCTATGGTAGTCTCATGATATTCTGGGGAAATAAAAAAAAATACTGGGAACAACATTACTTT